GGAATTGTAGGCTAGGACATAGCTATACACACACTTACAACTACTAGAGGAATTGTAGGCTAGGACATAGCTATACATACACTTACAACTACTAGAGGAATTGTAGGCTAGGACATAGGCTATACAGAGACACTACTAGAGGAATTGTAGGCTAGGACATAGCTATACACAGACACTACTAGAGGAATTGTAGGCTAGGACACATAGCTATACATACACTTACAACTACTAGAGGAATTGTAGGCTAGGACATAGCTATACACAGACACTACTAGAGGAATTGTAGGCTAGGACACATAGCTATAGACACACTTACAACTACTAGAGGAATTGTAGGCTAGGACATAGCTATACATACACTTACAACTACTAGAGGAATTGTAGGCTAGGACATAGGCTATACAGAGACACTACTAGATGAATTGTAGGCTAGGACATAGCTATACACAGACACTACTAGAGGAATTGTAGGCTAGGACACATAGCTATACATACACTTACAACTACTAGAGGAATTGTAGGCTAGGACATAGCTATACACAGACACTACTAGAGGAATTGTAGGCTAGGACACATAGCTATAGACACACTTACAACTACTAGAGGAATTGTAGGCTAGGACATAGCTATACAGAGACACTACTAGAGGAATTGTAGGCTAGGACATAGCTATACACAGACACTACTAGAGGAATTGTAGGCTAGGACATAGCTATACACACACTTACAACTACTAGAGGAATTGTAGGCTAGGACATAGCTATACAGTCACTACTAGAGGAATTGTAGGCTAGGACATAGCTATACAGAGACACTACTAGAGGAATTGTAGGCTAGGACATAGCTATACACAGACACTACTAGAGGAATTGTAGGCTAGGACATAGCTATACAGTCACTACTAGAGGAATTGTAGGCTAGGACATAGCTATACAGAGACACTACTAGAGGAATTGTAGGCTAGGACATAGCTATACACAGACACTACTAGAGGAATTGTAGGCTAGGACATAGCTATACACAGACACTACTAGAGGAATTGTAGGCTAGGACATAGCTATACACAGACACTACTAGAGGAATTGTAGGCTAGGACATAGCTATACATACACTTACAACTACTAGAGGAATTGTAGGCTAGGACATAGCTATACAGAGACACTACTAGAGGAATTGTAGGCTAGGACATAGCTATACACAGACACTACTAGAGGAATTGTAGGCTAGGACATAGCTATACACAGACACTACTAGAGGAATTGTAGGCTAGGACACATAGCTATACACACACTTACAACTACTAGAGGAATTGTAGGCTAGGACATAGCTATACAGTCACTACTAGAGGAATTGTAGGCTAGGACATATCTATACACACAACTACTAGAGGAAGTCTAGGATAGGTAATATATTTACAATTGCAAGGCTATCAGAGAAGAGTCAAAGGTAGACTATAGAATAGAAGAAGGTGGTGAAGACCTACATTGGAGTAGCCCCAGGTACAGAGTGACTGCTCCATGAGGGAGAGCAGGGTGCTGAAGGCCCCCACAGAACAGCCCATGTAGAGCATCAGCAACAGATAGGCCTTATTGCTCAGAGCCTGTGGGCACATACCACACAATATGTTCCAGTCTGGCTCAGCATCATTTATTTCAGGAAAAGTATATTTCAACCCCTCCTTCGACATCCACCAAAAGAGGGTTTTAAACAGAATTGCTTTGCATATTTGTAGGAAAAGGAATAAAAGAATCAGTGACCATGGTATATCTGTGTGAGAGAATGTCTTCAATGAGTGTTTCAGAGGGAAGAACTCTAGCTATTGGATTGAAAATCAACTAGATGCTAATTTAGGTCTTTTCAAAATATTGGCAAGCCCATTTTTTATAAATATAAAAATCAACCATCTAAGTGTTCGGCTCTGCCTATATGTCAACATCTAGTTCAGAGAACATTCTGACATCTGAAATAAAGCTCTCGGGAGATATTTCATTCATTAATTTTACTGCCTGACCTACTTCTTTTGTTTTTACTTACTTATATTTTTTCATATTTCGGGTACAAATGTTAATTTGACAAAAATGCCTATTTTTGTTATTTTAAGATGCCTATAAGACCATGTAGAGGACAAAAAAAGCCATTGAAGATCACTAGATGAGCTGTGAGACTGATGGTGTTGTGTGTTAGTTATGTAAATAGATACTTTGCATTTTTCTCTTATGTAAATAGTTATTTTGCATTTTTTTTTTTTTTTTTTACGTTATAAAAATGGGATGCTCCCTGTGCTGGCAGTAGAGTGTGATTCGTGGCTTGAGGAGAGCGCACAGCTTGCTGATGAAATAAACGTACCTTTGTAAAAGTCATTTAAAACTCATGGTCCAAGTTTGTTTCTGGATGGTTCCGCTTCTTGAAAAATTACAAGGAAAGTTTTTTTTCTCAGTGGTGGAATTATCGGGGTATATCTCCGCGACAGATGGTCTATAAGAGATCAAATTGAAGAATGTTTGTCCATATAATCACCAAGAGTGAACTTGACTTGATGGACGTTAACAAAACAATATAGGAACATCTATTTTGGTTATTGAGGTGAAGCTTTAACCATGCGGTGAGGGACAGCATGTTTGATTCATCAAAAACTGGGTTGGCCAATACCTATCTCCTAGAATAATCTGTGTATTTAATATTTATTCCAATAGATGGAGCTGTGTCATTGAGCCCTGTCATGCCTTTCAATTTATAAATGTCATGATGTACCTGGCGCGCAAGACAACAACTGCTTTGGCAAGAGGACAGTTTATAATTCCTTTGGTTATAATTAATTTCTTTGGTTATAAGATATTTAATATTCATTATATATTTAACCTCTTTATATTTATCTTCTTTGTGATAAATTAAGAATTTAAAGTTTGCTTCTGCCTATTTATGTCCACGACTTATTTTGGTGGAGATGCTGGGTAATGTGACAGATCTTCGAAGAAGTCAACATCTACAGGAACTTGAACCAATTCTTGGACAATTGCTAGAACGTATAAAAATTGAAGGCGACCAGAGATCTACTGCTAGCGGATCATACATACCTTTTGAGAGCCAACTTTGAAGAAGTACGAGAGAGTGACGATATGCAACAGATGGGACAAGACCATAAAGTTTGCCAATGTTGTATTTTACATAACTGGAACCTCTGGAAAGTGGAATGATAACAATGAAGAATCATTCATCTTGTGAAGCTTTAAAGATCCCTTCTGCAGTGTTTTTGGACAATAGAAAGATTCTGCCAGACGTGCCGAGGAAGTTTTGAAGTCAAGAGCACAGAAGGCTGAGGAATCCTGCGAATGATACATTCAGGAAATCTTCAGCCTCTGCCCCCAGATGGACCCTAGCATGGATGAAGGTGAGATTTCTCACATTGTAAAGGGCATTTCTGAGGACACATAACAAGTATTGGTAGTGAGAGACATCTAGACGCTTTTGCAGCTATCTGGCAACCATCAAAACATGAAGGATCGGTCATATGAAATTCGCCAGATTTTTAAATCCAATACCCCTTTCATAGTTGAAGACTCAGATGACTTGGCCAGCTTAATTCGCAACATCATCAGAGAAGAAATTCAAAAGACCTTCCCAGCACCTGAAATGATCAATCCTCTCAGAGAGGTAAACACCCTGGAGCTGATTGTAAGAGAAGAAGTTAACTGTGCTCTCCAACCTATTAGACCACAAAATCAACGTTTTACAACAACCACGCACGCCCTATAATCTTGACCGACCATCCTAACCCAGGAAGACTAAGCTATAGAGAACCTACAATGACAAACCCATTTTCTTTCCACTGCGGACAACACAGACATGTCGTTCATTATTGTAGGAAGAGACATCAACTCTTTGCTGAAACCCAGTCAAAGAATGACAGACAAGGAGAAAATCAAGGATATTCGAGACGACACCATTGTTGACGACTATGTAAAGCCCCAAACCTTGACGTATATCTACCAGAGCACTTCCCCACATCCATCTCACATAAGGTAGCCAGTCCAAAGACAATCCCAGTCACTGGCCACCATTTTAGCTGCTCTCCCAAGCGCCACCAGAATGAGGAAAACTAAATGGTGTGGCCTGTAAGAGGGGTTAGGTCGCAAATTGAAGAAAATTATCCAGGGGATATCGCTGCTAAATTGAAAGAAATTTTGTTAACATTGATGGATGCATAATCAAAGCATTAGTAGATTCAGGAGCAGACTTGTCTGTCAAATCCGAAACTTTTGACGTGAACTGAAGATACTTCTCTTCAGGGGACCAGGTCCCATTCTCAAAGCCGCTAACAAGAATTTAATTAAGGCCCTAGGGAGATGTGAATGGTCTGGAGATATTTTTGAAATCTTTGTTATGCTGGAATACAGCCATGACATCGTATTTGAATGGGACTTCTTCAAGGCCACCGAGGCTGTCATTGATAGTGGGAGAAATGAACTCGGGAAATCTTCTGCCTTGGAGTTCAGGAGGGGGAACCAAAGATTGTTCGCTCCCGATAACTTTGTCATCCCGCCCAAATCAATCAAGAAGGTCAGTGTGCTAAAAGAATATGTAGAACCAGAGAATTTTATTCACAGATTTTAGGACTTATTATTGAGAGGAAGTAATTATACCAATCTCTCTTGTTACATTTTGACACAGCCGAGGTAGCATTTGGGTGGCGAACGGACCACCATATTCCACCAGGAATGAAAATGTGCACCATGGAAAGTTAGGAGAACGGGACTATATATTGTAGATAGTTTCACATGCATTTATCCAGGTCGGATATAGCGTGTCTGATTGGTCATAAATATAAATAATGCATTTAAATTTTATTTTAAAATAATTAGTTGGGTATAGTATTTTTTTTTAAATTGAAGGCATCATCTATAAAATATGGTAAATACTCATAGTAATCAAATATTAGTGATTTTTAAACACAAGGTAATAAGACCAGAGCCAAATAAATAAATAGTGTGTCTAAAAAAAGATGGAGATGCTGGGTATTGATCCCAGTACTTATCGCATGCTAAGCTCTACCATCTGAGCTACATCCCCTTTTACACAGCACACACTATTTATTTGGTCTTATTACCTTGTGTTCATAATCTATAATCCAAATTGTGCCTTATCATTAGTGATTTATAAAAATAGCTAATCAAATTTAAATGGTAAAGTCCCCATTCCTAACTGCATCCTAGCTTAAATATCATAGCTTATTTTCTAACATATTTTTAATGGATTTATTTTCATTTTTAAAAATCTAAATGAACCAAGTTTATGTATGCACATGTGATAGGGTAAAGCTAAACTGATTGCAGTGCAAATATTATTGAATATGTGCAACAGACTAATGCTGTAGTCGTTAGTAAAAATGTCAAATGTATAGTACACACGTAGTAAACACTAAATATGAACCGTTACAAGACACCATGAATTTACTTGGGATATATAGCAACCCCATAGTTTAAATATTGCACTTATCACACTTAGTTTGGTTGGTTGGGTTCATGTTATACATTGTTTAATTATTGCACTTATCACACTTAGTTTGGTTGGTTGGGTTCATGTTATACATTGTTTAATTATTGCACTTATCACACTTAGTTTGGTTGGTTGGGTTCACGTTATACACAGTTTAATTATTGCAGGAACATCTATCACACTTAGTTTGGTTGGTTGGGTTCACGTTATACATTGTTTAATTATTGCAGGAACATCTATCACACTTAGTTTGGTTGGTTGGGTTCACGTTATACATTGCTTAATTATTGCAGGAACATCTATCACACTTAGTTTGGTTGGTTGGGTTCATGTTATACATTGTTTAATTATTGCAGGAACATCTATCACACTTAGTTTGGTTGGTTGGGTTCATGTTATACATTGTTTAATTATTGCAGGAACATCTATCACACTTAGTTTGGTTGGTTGGGTTCACGTTATACATTGTTTAATTATTGCAGGAACATCTATCACACTTAGTTTGGTTGGTTGGGTTCACGTTATACACAGTTTAATTATTGCAGGAACATCTATCACACTTAGTTTGGTTGGTTGGGTTCATGTTATACATTGTTTAATTATTGCAGGAACATCTATCACACTTAGTTTGGTTGGTTGGGTTCACGTTATACATTGTTTAATTATTGCAGGAACATCTATCACACTTAGTTTGGTTGGTTGGGTTCACGTTATACATTGTTTAATTATTGCAGGAACATCTATCACACTTAGTTTGGTTGGTTGGGTTCACGTTATACATTGTTTAATTATTGCAGGAACATCTATCACACTTAGTTTGGTTGGTTGGGTTCACGTTATACATTGTTTAATTATTGCAGGAACATCTATCACACTTAGTTTGGTTGGTTGGGTTCACGTTATACATTGTTTAATTATTGCAGGAACATCTATCACACTTAGTTTGGTTGGTTGGGTTCACGTTATACACAGTTTAATTATTGCAGGAACATCTATCACACTTAGTTTGGTTGGTTGGGTTCATGTTATACACAGTTTAATTATTGCAGGAACATCTATCACACTTAGTTTGGTTGGTTGGGTTCACGTTATACATTGTTTAATTATTGCAGGAACATCTATCACACTTAGTTTGGTTGGTTGGGTTCATGTTATACATTGTTTAATTATTGCAGGAACATCTATCACACTTAGTTTGGTTGGTTGGGTTCACGTTATACATTGTTTAATTATTGCAGGAACATCTATCACACTTAGGTTGGTTGGTTGGGTTCACGTTATACATTGTTTAATTATTGCAGGAACATCTATCACACTTAGGTTGGTTGGTTGGGTTCACGTTTTACATTGTTTAATTATTGCAGGAACATCTATCACACTTAGTTTGGTTGGTTGGGTTCATGTTATACATTGTTTAATTATTGCAGGAACATCTATCACACTTAGTTTGGTTGGTTGGGTTCACGTTATACATTGTTTAATTATTGCAGGAACATCTATCACACTTAGTTTGGTTGGTTGGGTTCACGTTATACACAGTTTAATTATTGCAGGAACATCTATCACACTTAGTTTGGTTGGTTGGGTTCACGTTATACACAGTTTAATTATTGCAGGAACATCTATCACACTTAGTTTGGTTGGTTGGGTTCACGTTATACATTGCTTAATTATTGCAGGAACATCTATCACACTTAGTTTGGTTGGTTGGGTTCACGTTATACACAGTTTAATTATTGCAGGAACATCTATCACACTTGGTTTGGTTGGTTGGGTTCACGTTATACACAGTTTAATTATTGCAGGAACATCTATCACACTTAGTTTGGTTGGTTGGGTTCACGTTATACACAGTTTAATTATTGCAGGAACATCTATCACACTTAGTTTGGTTGGTTGGGTTCACGTTATACATTGCTTAATTATTGCAGGAACATCTATCACACTTAGTTTGGTTGGTTGGGTTCACGTTATACACAGTTTAATTATTGCAGGAACATCTATCACACTTAGTTTGGTTGGTTGGGTTCATGTTATACATTGTTTAATTATTGCAGGAACATCTATCACACTTAGTTTGGTTGGTTGGGTTCACGTTATACATTGTTTAATTATTGCAGGAACATCTATCACACTTAGTTTGGTTGGTTGGGTTCACGTTATACATTGTTTAATTATTGCAGGAACATCTATCACACTTAGTTTGGTTGGTTGGGTTCACGTTATACATTGTTTAATTATTGCAGGAACATCTATCACACTTAGTTTGGTTGGTTGGGTTCACGTTATACATTGTTTATTTATTGCAGGAACATCTATCACACTTAGTTTGGTTGGTTGGGTTCACGTTATACATTGTTTAATTATTGCAGGAACATCTATCACACTTAGTTTGGTTGGTTGGGTTCACGTTATACACAGTTTAATTATTGCAGGAACATCTATCACACTTAGTTTGGTTGGTTGGGTTCATGTTATACACAGTTTAATTATTGCAGGAACATCTATCACACTTAGTTTGGTTGGTTGGGTTCACGTTATACATTGTTTAATTATTGCAGGAACATCTATCACACTTAGTTTGGTTGGTTGGGTTCATGTTATACATTGTTTAATTATTGCAGGAACATCTATCACACTTAGTTTGGTTGGTTGGGTTCACGTTATACATTGTTTAATTATTGCAGGAACATCTATCACACTTAGGTTGGTTGGTTGGGTTCACGTTATACATTGTTTAATTATTGCAGGAACATCTATCACACTTAGGTTGGTTGGTTGGGTTCACGTTTTACATTGTTTAATTATTGCAGGAACATCTATCACACTTAGTTTGGTTGGTTGGGTTCATGTTATACATTGTTTAATTATTGCAGGAACATCTATCACACTTAGTTTGGTTGGTTGGGTTCACGTTATACATTGTTTAATTATTGCAGGAACATCTATCACACTTAGTTTGGTTGGTTGGGTTCACGTTATACACAGTTTAATTATTGCAGGAACATCTATCACACTTAGTTTGGTTGGTTGGGTTCATGTTATACACAGTTTAATTATTGCAGGAACATCTATCACACTTAGTTTGGTTGGTTGGGTTCACGTTATACATTGTTTAATTATTGCAGGAACATCTATCACACTTAGTTTGGTTGGTTGGGTTCACGTTATACATTGTTTAATTATTGCAGGAACATCTATCACACTTAGGTTGGTTGGTTGGGTTCACGTTATACACAGTTTAATTATTGCAGGAACATCTATCACACTTAGTTTGGTTGGTTGGGTTCACGTTATACACAGTTTAATTATTGCAGGAACATCTATCACACTTAGTTTGGTTGGTTGGGTTCACGTTATACACAGTTTAATTATTGCAGGAATATCTATCACACTTAGTTTGGTTGGTTGGGTTCACGTTATACATTGCTTAATTATTGCAGGAACATCTATCACACTTAGTTTGGTTGGTTGGGTTCACGTTATACACAGTTTAATTATTGCAGGAACATCTATCACACTTGGTTTGGTTGGTTGGGTTCACGTTATACACAGTTTAATTATTGCAGGAACATCTATCACACTTAGTTTGGTTGGTTGGGTTCACGTTATACACAGTTTAATTATTGCAGGAACATCTATCACACTTAGTTTGGTTGGTTGGGTTCACGTTATACATTGCTTAATTATTGCAGGAACATCTATCACACTTAGTTTGGTTGGTTGGGTTCACGTTATACACAGTTTAATTATTGCAGGAACATCTATCACACTTGGTTTGGTTGGTTGGGTTCACGTTATACACAGTTTAATTATTGCAGGAACATCTATCACACTTAGTTTGGTTGGTTGGGTTCATGTTATACACAGTTTAATTATTGCAGGAACATCTATCACACTTTGGTTGGTTGGGTTCATGTTATACACAGTTTAATTATTGCAGGAACATCTATCACACTTAGTTTGGTTGGTTGGGTTCATGTTATACACAGTTTAATTATTGCAGGAACATCTATCACACTTTGGTTGGTTGGGTTCATGTTATACACAGTTTAATTATTGCAAGAACATCTATCACACTTAGTTTGGTCAGTTGGGTCCACGTTATACGCACAGTTTGAATATTGTAGATACACCTATTGCACTTTGTTGAGCTGGGTTCATGTTATATATATTTTTATAGTAGAACCTCCCTTTAGTGGACACCTCTCCACAAAGGACAGTTTTCATTTGCAAAATTACAATTTTTACAATTTAGCAACTCTCCAGTAAGAGGGCACCTCTCCTTAAAGGACACTTTGGCTCTGCAATTAGGTGTTGTCCTTTACAGGGAGGTAGTTCTACTGTACAGTACCCCTGATCTAAATGTTGCACTTAACTCACTTATTTGGTCATGTGAGATAAAGAGATAGGGAAATGACCTGCTTGAGTCCGTGGAAGAAGGGCAGCTTGTAGTGGTAGCTGGCACTGATGCTGGGGGGATGCGGGGGGTGGGAGGCCCGGACTCCCCACAGGGTCAGCAACAAGGCAGCCAGGGCGGGACCCAGCCAACAGCAGTTCTGGACTCCACATAT